AAATTACAGAGAATAACTTACCATGTGGTGCCCTAAATACATATACATACAAACAATACTAAACAGACTCAGCATGTTATATCTATATAATTATTCACATGTATATAACAATAACAATTTTTAATAATAGGTAATGAGTTTGAGAATGGAGGCATAGGATTGGTGAAAAGAATGGGAAGGGGAGAAACTGTAATCATATTTTAATTACATTTAATTTAAAAACCATGTAAACTCTCTGCTCAAGGGACCATATTTATACATATAGTTTTATGTGGTCTTATGTTTCCGAAATTATCCCACTATCAAAAGTCCTTTTATATATTCCGAAGACTTCTACTCATATGACTAAGAAAATCCAAGAATTTCTTTAAGGCTGTATCTCACCTGTATGGGTCTCCTGAGATATCAATATCGTTATATTTCTGAAAGCAAAGATGGTTGGTCAGAGTGGGTCCTGAATGTCATCCACATTGTATTGTTGAACAGCTCCTTTAGGGAATGTCAATTGACTGTGCAAGATTAATTCTCCTTCACCAACAGTGGAAAGAATAATACTGTAGGAGGGCAGATAAAGATGCAGATACCAGAAAAGATAGGGAAACTCCTGCACATGAAATAAACCCTTCGGAAATCAAAGAGTTCAGTGTCTTAGGTTTCATCAGTGTCTTAGTTCTCATAGGGGTCTTCCCTTATATTTCCACCCCACTGTACAGAATTTCACCCCTTTATAGAGTCCTTACTCTAACTTCCTGTCCCCTTCAAGTCTGAGACTTATTAATATAATATTGTAATTCAGCCACTCTCACAATAAAGGCTTTCTTTTATATTTTCTTTGCTTTTTTGACAGTTTTAGGCCTGATTCTGAATGGAAGAAATTTGTCAAATTAAACAATTTATGCAAATTTGGATGTAAGAAAATGCATCATGCTATGTTCATTTTTTTCTTTGTTACTTTATCCAGACCTTCGAGAAGCAACTATCCAACATTCTTATATACCTTAAGAACAATTTTTGTCACAAATGTTTAAAAGTATTGTATATACAATCATTAAATTATTTGTCTCTCATGGTGAACCAAAAGTATGGAATGTTTTTGTCTTGTATATTTCATTGAACACTTTGTTCAATGAGAAATCAGTGGTCTCCATATTATCTGGAGAGAAGTTTTGCTAATTAAGTATAGCCAAATTAGATACCCAACTCGAGAAACTATCAAGCCTGTTAGAGGAATTCATCACTAGAAATTAATTTCTCTCGTACTATATCAGATCTAAAGAAAATTTCCTAAATTGACTTACAGAACAGAATCTGAGTAATTCAACAAAGGCTATCTGTATACTAGAGAGACAGAGAACTTGGTAGCTGCTCAGTCCAAGAAACAGGACCCCTCAGCAATTCTAACCTGAAAATCTGGAAGGTCACTGGAAAGCCTTGTGTTGAGTCTGCTTTTGAAGGCTGAAGAACATGCAGTCTGTCAGACAAGGGTCACAACACAGATGTTAGACTTACCCAGAAAAGGGAGAGTGAATGCTTTTACTTTGACCTCATTATATCTGGGCTTCCAGTTGGAATATGTTACCCATACTGAGGGGTAATGCTCTCTAGAAATACCCTCATAGTCTCCCAGGGGCGTGCCTCCTAGGTAATTCTAAATCCAGCCAGGTTAACAATCAACGGCATCTCTCACAGAGGTCACAGAGAAGGGAGATGCCTCTAAGACTTCACAACACCTGTATGGTCACAGATATCAATAAATTACATTTCAAAGAAAGCATATGACTAGTACCTGGCACCCTGGTTAGACTGAGGAAAAGAACAGGAAAGGGCACAAGGCACGGAAATACGAAAATGGTTGGAGTAAGATTTGTAATGTCAGGGCCAAGATTGTGAGCTGGGTAGTCAATGGTGCAGATTGTCTTGTCATGGTAGATGAAGTTAGTCACTTCTCTCCGATATGGACATAAGGAAGAATACTAGTGAAGACTCCAAAAAGGACACTGTCCAGATCATAGATAGAGAAGTAGTAACAGCCAATTTGCTTTAGCAAGATTTGACTGAAGTCACCCAGCAGCCAGGAGCAGGAGTGGTAGACAGAGTGATGACCCCTCATAGTTCCTTCATGTATCTGCCAACCTTGGGGCTTTTGTACATGGATCCAGAAACTCTGGATACCCAGCCACTGATGATTGTTGTAAGTCTGGTACATGAAAGTGTCCTGGAACCTTCACTTCTGGAATGCTACTAAAAAAGACCTGCCGAAACATTTTAAACTATAACCCTCTTGAACCTAATTTTTTTTTGTATTTTTTTAATTATTATTTTTTATTTTACATGTCGATCCCAGTTCCCTCTCCCTCCTTCCCGTCCTCCCTCCCTTTTACCCTGTCTCCCCCTTCACATGCACCCTGACCACCCTCCCCTCCCATCTCCCACCCCAATTCCATATGTATGGGAATGCCATCCAGGTGGGGTCATGTAGATCTGACAGGTCATCTGAAGTAGGGACTAGGACTTCTCTCCTGTCTCTAGGTTAAGGCAGTTATCCCTCCATGGGGGATGTGTTCGCAAGGTCCTTTTGTGCACCAGGGATACATCCTGGTTTCACTGTCTGAGTCAGTCCCATGCTTGTTTCCCAGCTATCAGTCTGGGGGCCCGTTAGCTCCTCCTTGTTCACGTAAGCTGTCTGTGTGTGTTTCTGCAACCTGATCTTGTCCTCTCCCTCTGCATCTGGGTTCTAGTTCAACTCAGTGTTTAGGTATGGGTGTTTGCTTCTGTTTCCAACAGGTACTAGATGAGGGCTCCATGATGGTGGATAAGTTAGTTGTTGATCTTACTATCCAGGAAGGGCATTTACGGGAGCCTTTCCATGGTTGCTCAAATCGTTAGTTGGCAGCAGTCTTGTAGGTCTCTAGGCCTTCCTTTAGTTGAACCTAAATTTTATGACATCAAAGGTAGACAGGCAGGAAACACTTGTATACAAATTGTGTATACAAGTCAAATACTAATAATAAATCATAAAGAATTTTACTTTAAAATGATTGTTTATATAAATATAATAGGACCCCAGACCTTAGTAGGCCCCTCTAACTTAGCATAACTGCCTCCATGATGGAAGTCTCATTCAGGCCATAAAACTCAGCATATAGACAACACCATCTGCCAAATGAAAACAGCACCTAATCCATCAAAGTCCATAGTTCTGGCAGTCTCTTACTGTACTAACCTTGCTTTTTGGCTTTTATAGCCCTGCATCTGGCTAACTCTTCTTGTTAGCTGGCATAGTTTTGGTGCTTAAAAATTCACCCTGACAAAGGTTTGGGATTTGGGGTCACAAACACTTCAACTCCTGACCAAGCAATTTTCCCTGGTGGATACTCCACAACATGTATGCCCATATATATGATATACTGTTTGTTAAAATGAAATAACAAGTCTGTAAGGAGTATTGTTTTTCCTTCTGCCACTGGTGTTGTCCAGCCACCGGGCCAGCCCCAATTAACACACCAAGACTCTGTATTTGATATAATGCTGTTTGCCCAGTTAACTTGTTTCTTATCGGCTAGCTCTGTCTTAATTATTAACCCATTTCTGTTAATCTATGTATTTCCACATGCTTTCATTTTATCGGGGAATGGGCTGGCGTTGTGCTCTACCTGGTCTCTCCATCTTGACTCCTTCTTACTCCTTCCTCTTTCCTCCTTGTCTCCTAGTCCCTCCTCTCTTGCTTTCCTATTGGCCAACAGTGCTTTATTCATTAACCAGTATGAGAAACATATTTACATAATGACATTTCCCATTACAAGTCTTCATAGTTACACACATATACTTATTTTTCTTTTTACCCAGAATTAAATTATAGCCTGATTTTATTTTTCAGGCTACAATAAATCAGTCAGTATTTTTCAAAGTTGAGCATTACTTTGATTTCATAATTTCCAATAATAAGGATGATACTTAAAAGAGTGATGTTCCTTGCCCTGGTGTCTCAATGGGTAACACAGAACTTCATTCTCTGACCAGTATTGTTTTTAAAGTAAGTGATGTGTTCAAATATCATTGGGGTCCCATTTCCTATTAGATGTAGAAACCTCTTCTTTGGAAGAGCCCCCACCATTTGTCTACTGAGAAACTAAGTTTGAAAACCAGTTCTCCTGAACCCCAGAGCACAGGGGGCGCTGCTCCCTTGAGAGTCCTCTCTGACACCCATGGTGAGGCACCCCAGTGTACTTTATGGATTGAGCAGTTCTGCTTGACGTTTTTTTTTTTTTTTTAAACCTTGTTGAGCCTTTGAGCCTTTTGGTAGTTTTAGTAATAAAAATTTAAATGTTAAGTAGTTTGGAAAGAACGACGCCCAAATTCCCAAATATTGTGTATAAATGTTTGTTTTCATTTAATTGGACTTTGTTATATAAAATTAAATAAAATAATAATAAAAAATTTAAATGTTAAATAAAAGGAATGCTGCTTCAAATAATAGGTAGTACAAAAAGATGAAGGTTTATGTAGGATTATATAAGAAGAAATTTGAAATTATACTCTAATATGATAGTTGATTTTATCATCTTATTTTTATTGATATCCCCTCGCCAACTCTAAACCATCTTAAAATGCATTCTCAGCCATCTTCAAGATGTTCTTAGACACAAGGAAACGCCTCAGCTCAGTACCAACTGGTTCGTTTCTCGAACGAGTCGGAAAACTAGCAGTTTGCTTCAAACTGTTTTTGTTTTTTGCTTGTTTCTGTTTGTTTGTTTTGTTTTGTTTTGTTTTGTTTGCTATACTACTTATGGCAGCTGTTGTTATTTCATGGGGTGGATCCATGCACAAGTTCGTGCCCACATTGCGCCCTTTGTGTGCCTAAACTAGAGCGTCACTCAGGGTTGTGAGTTGAAAGCCAATAGCAGCGCGGGAGAGAGGAACGTGTGCACACTTAGAGGGTCGTGCGCAGACTCGGGTAACAATTGCAGCCTCTGCAGAAGCCACTAGGGTGCGCCTTCTGAAGAGCTCAGGTCATGGCCCGCAAGTACTTCTACTTCGACTATGACTACTATGGGGTGAGCTTTTATGAGGAAGAAATAAAGACCGCCGAACCCGAAGAAAGGTTGTCCTACTCAGCAAACAGTGGCACCTTTGACCAAGGAGTCATAGACGCCCTGAATAAGCTATGCTGTGAGGGCCACCAGAGCTCTCTGGGCAACCACAGCTACGAGAGCTATGACATGAATAACAACCAAGACACCGAGAAAGGAGAGCTGGTGATGGCCAGGAACATGGCCAGAGCCAGTGACCAGCCATCATTCAGGATTCCTCGGAAACCATACAAATTCACGCCTGGACAGCTGTGGGAACTTCGGGCAGTTTTCGAAGAAACTCAGTACCCAGACGCTCTCAGACGGTATGTATCGGGTCTGTCATTCTAGAATTTGGGCTCCTTTCCCTCTCCCTTGGCCTCTCCTCACCCTTGTCAAAACTTTTTAATGTCTTTGAAATTCAGCATATAGAGTCCCTCATAACTTTGTTACTGAGGTACAAGCTCCTCAGCGAGCTTCCAGGGCGCGGAGCCTCCATGGGCGCCAAGCCTCGAATGGGCGCCAAGCCTCGAATGGGCGCCAAGCCTCGAATGGGCGCCAAGCCTCGAATGGGCGCCAAGGAAGCGCGCCCTCTGGCGAGTTCAGCACGTGAGCGCACTCTGAGGAAGAAACAGCACTGAACCTGAGGCCATGGCGGCTTTTTGCAAAGGAGTCACATGCTCCGCACATGAGCTGCGTTGTGGTGGCCACCCTGTAGGTGACCATGCCTCTTATTACTTTTGTTAAATCTGGGTCTGAATTGTGCAGGCAGGCCTTGAACTAGCTCTGTGTCCCAGTCGATCCTTGAATTTGTGATCCTCCTGCCTCAGCTTCTTCAGTAGCAGAGATCACTGGTTTGTGTCATAAGGATTGACTTTCTTGCCATCTCAGCCATGAAACCAAACTCTTCACCTGATTCTATGATAATGTTTTAGGGGGGTTGTTGTCTAGAGGTCCTGGGTGAAGGCTGTTTTCTCCATCTATTAAAGAATTTAAAGGCAGGAAAGATCCCAGGCACAGCAGGCAGCAACGGGAACAGACTTTTAAAAGTGAAGTAGAAAACACACACAGCAAGGCATGCAGAGAGTGATACCCCACAAAGTAGAAAGGGGAATCAGAAAACGAAATGTTTTTCATCTGGAGGGCTGGAATTTTTCAGCTGAAACTGAAACATGTTTGGGACAGGCCTTTAATATACCTGACCAGGTGGAACAATTAGCCAAAGGCAGGAGAAAAGCCCACTAGGCTTTTGGCTCAGGTAAGGAGGGTGAGGAAGAAGCAGGAAGTTTGCTGTCTTACTAGTTTGAGGTCTCTTTCCCTATCTGTCTGCAGGTTATGGATGTGTCTAGCTCTTAGTCCCTGAAGAGAATGACTCTTGAGTGACCAAGGTTGAAATTTCCATGCATTCTTGGTATAAATCAGGTCTCCAAGATGCTCCCTGAAAACATATAAATATATATAAATATATGAAAATATATAAATATAAATATAAAAACATGCAACTCAGTGGTAGATCCCTTGCCTAGTATATCTGTTCAATTCTCAATGCCATGAAAATATGTGTAATCTGCATGTGGCAAATTTAGATATTTATTTCTTCAAGAATAAGTTAATTATAGCTAGACCACACAGCACTAAAAACAGTCTTTAATTTTCAGACAATGTAAAAAATACACTGCCTTATACATTACATCCCTGCTACAGTATTCCCTCCCTCCACTCCTCTCTGTCCTTCCCACAGCCCTCCTCTCCCAGATTCCCAGATGCACTGCTCTTCCATCTCCATTCAAACCACTTCTAAATAATGCTTCTTCTAAGGTTTACTGAAGAGTCTACTTGGAGAGGTGTGAGGGGAGATAGCAATTTTTAAATTTTTCATTTAAAAATACTTTTCATACAATATATTTTAATCATATTCTTCCCCTTGGCAACTCCTCCCATATCATCCCTACACATTCATCTTCATGAATTTTCTTTCACCAAAAAAAAAAGAAAAAGAAAAAGAAAAAATAACAAACCCCAAACCCAAATCAAGGCAAACTTAAAAAACAGAAAACTAAACACAAAATAACAAAACAAAAGGTGTGTGCAGTGTGTGCATGCATGTACATGCAAGCGCATGCACACACACACACACACACACACACACACACACACACACACACACACACACACATGAAACAAAACAAAACAAAACAAAATAGGAACACGGGACTGCCCTAGAGTGTTGTGCTGATAATGGTTTGCCATACAGAAGCTTTTCAGTTATATGAAGTCCCACTTATTAACTTTTAGTCTTACTGCCTGTGCTATTGGTGTCCTGTTCAGAAAATCTATTCTGGTGCCAGTGCTCTCAAGGCTATTCCCCACTTTCTCTCCTATCAGGCTTCCTTACTGTATCTGGATTTATGTTGAGTACTTTGATCCACTTGTTCAGAATGATAGTTATGGATCTATTTGTCTTCTTCTACATAACGACATCTAGTTTGACCAGCACCATTTGTTGAAGAGGCTTTTATTTTTCCAGTGTGTATTACTGGCTCTTTTTTTTTTTTTTTTAATCAAAAATCAGGTGTCCATAGGTGTGAGGTCTGGGTGTTTAATTCAGTTCCATTGATCAACCTGTCTGTTTTTATGCCAACAACATGCTGTTTTTATTGCTGTAGCTCTGTAACACTATTTGTGATCAGGGATGGCAATACCTCCAGCCATTCTTTTATTATTCAGGATTGTTTGCTATCCTGAGAGGTTTTTTTTTTTAATTTTTAATTTTCCCATGAATTTGAAGATTTAAAAATTTTCTATGAAAAATTATGTTGGAATTTTGATGGGGATGGTGTTGAATCTGTAGATTTGTTTTTGGTAGTATGGTCATTTTCATGATATTAATTCTACCAATATATAAGCATGGGAGTTCTTTTCATTTTCTGGTGTCTTTAACTTCTTTCTTCAGTTGTCTTAACATTTTCATTATATAAGGCTATTGTTTGTTTGGTTAGAGTTTCCTAAAATATTTTATATTTTTGAGAATTTGTGGAAGTTACTATGTCCCCGATTTCTTTCATAATATGTGTGTCATTTGCATATAGCAAGACTATTGATTTTTGTGTGTTAATTTTTTATCCTACTACTTTGCCAAAAGTGCTTATCAGCTGTAGAAGTTTCTTGGTGGAATTTTTTTGAATTTTTTGAATAAAATCATATCACCTGCAAATAAAGAATACTTTGACTTCTTACTTTACAATTTGTATCCCCTTGACCTTTTTTTGTTGTCCTATTGCTCTAGCTAGAACTTCGAGTATTATATTGAGTAATATGGGGAGAATAGACAGCCTTGTCTTATTTCTGATTTGAGTGGAAATGCTTTCATTTTCTCTTCATTTAATTTGATGTCAGCTATTGGCTTGCTGTATATTGCCTTTATTATGTTGAGTCATGTTTCCTGTGTCCTTATTTTCTCCAGAACTTTTATCATGAAGAGATGATAGGTTTTATCAAAGACTATTTCTGTATCTAATGAAATCAAATTTGTTTTTTTAGTCTGTTTATGTGGTGGATTATGTTTATTGATTCATATATGTCTAACCATCCATGCATCTCTCGGATGAAGTGAATTTGATCATAGTAGATAATCTGTTTTGTTATGTTCTTGGATTTAGTTTGCAAAAATTTTATTGAGAATCTTTGTATTTATGTTCATAAAGGATATTGGCCTGTGATTTTCTATTTTAGCTAGTTCTTTGTGTGGTTTTGCTATTAAGATAATAGTAGCTTCATAAATATAATTAGGAAATGTTTTAAGTTTCTATTTGCAGGATAATTTGAGGAGGATTGGTGCTAGTTATCCTTTGAAAGCTGGTAGAATTCTGTACTGAATCCATCTGGCCCTGGAATTTTTTTGGTGGGGAGATTTTTTTTTTATTCATTAGTAATGTTGTTTTATGTTTTATTATTAATAAATTTTATTTAAATTAGAAGCAATCTTATTTTACGTATCAATCCCAGTTCCATCTCTCATCCTGCCATGCCCTCCACCAAACCCCCATCCCATCCCCCATGCACTCCCCAGGGAGGGTGAGGCCTTCCATGAGGGATCATCAAAATCTGTCAAGTCATTTGGGGTATGGCCTAGGCTTTCCTCCATGTCTCTAGTTTAAGGGAGTATCCCTCCATGGGAACTGGGTTCCTAAAATCCGTTCCTGCACTAGGGATATATCCTGATTCCACTGTCAGAGGCTCCATAGACTGCCCAGTCCTTCTAACTACCACCCACATTCAGGGGGCCTGGTTTGGTCCTATGTTGGTTTCCCAGCTATCAGACATAGGTCCATGAATTCCCACTTGCTCAGGTCAGCTGTTTCTGTGGGTTTTCCCAGAATGATTTTGACCCCTTAGTTTGTCACTCCTCTCTCTCTGAAACTGGATTCCAAGATATCAACTCAGTGTTTAGCTGTGGGTGGCTGCTTCTGCTTCCATCAGCTACTAGATGAAGGCTCTAGGATGCCATTTAAGGTAGTCATCATTCTCATTATAGGGGAAGGGCATTTAAGGTAGCCTCTCCACTATTGCTTAGATTCCTAGTCGGGGTCATCCTCGTGGATCTCTGGGCATTTCCCTAGTGACAGGTGTCTCTTTAAACCTATAATGACTCCCTCTATTATGGTATCTCTTCTCTTGTTCTCCTCTATTCATCTCTACATTCAATCGGGAGATTTTTTAAAATTTATTTATTTTTCTTATTTTACATTTCAATCCCAGTGCCCTCTCCCTCCCTAAATGTCTACAATGGTAATTTTTCTCTTAATTTTTTTTTTATTCTGTAATGGCTTCATAGTATTCTTTCCCATCTCTTCTGATTAGTTTTGTTTTGAAGTCTGTTTTGTCAGATATTAAAATAGCTACACCTGCTTGCATCTTGGTTCTATTTGCTTGAAATACCATTTCCCATCCTTTTACCCTAAGGTGGCATCTGTCCTTGGTGGTGAGCTGTGCTTCTTGAATGCAGCAGAAAGTTGGATTCCATTTTCTTATCAGTCTGTTAGTCTGTGTTTTTGGAGGGAAAAAGCGTCAACCATTAATATAGTTAGTTATTAATGATTGGTGTTCATTGACTTGTAATTTTGTTGTGCTGTACAGTTTTCTCTTCTTTTGATTAACTATTCTGGGATTATTTCTGTGTCTTTTGGGGTGTAGTTAACATTCTCTTCAGCCTGGAGTTTCTTTCTAGTGTCTTCTGTCGAGCTGGAATGGCAGATTTCCTGGGTTTTTATGCCTGGATTTTTATTTTTAATATGTAACACTTTCTTTGACTGAAATATCCATTTCTTCTACATGAAATTCTAGCCAGGCGGTGGTGTCACTCGCCTTTAATTCCAGCACTTGGGAGGCAGAGGCTGGTGAATCGCTGTGGGTTTGAGAGGAGCCTGGTCTACAAAGCTACACAGAGAAACCCTCTCTTGAAAAACCAAAAAAAAAAAAATGAAAAAAAATCTGAAGTTCTATCTTCCATGTCTTTTAATCTATTGAGGCTTACATAAGAGATTTTTGTTTGGCATCCTGAGTTTTTCATCCCCTTTTTATTCATTTTGGGTTTTCTTTGGTGAATCTGTTTCTTCATTAAATTCTACATTAATAACTGGTGTTTTGAAGTCCTTATCTTGTGCTCCAGATAAATTGCTTTTCTTAGAGCCTAAGACAAAGGCGCATAAGTCAGTGGGGAGTCACAAAGCAATGGAACTGGACTAGACGGAAAGGATGAAAGGGGCAGTGGGAAAGAAGTAGAAGAATTCTGGCTCTGCACCAGAAGGCTGAGTCTATGGGATTGTGGTGGGCTGGGAGGAGGGCCTCCTGCAGGCAGGCTGCAACGGAACTAAGAATAAGTATGGAGAGCAAGAGATTGCATTTTTAAATATAAAAGCAGTATACTAATTTTAGTTCATTCCCTGCCTAGTATGGAATATTAAATATTAGTCTTTTTTCTTCCTCCACAGAAAAGAGCTGGCGGAGCTCATGAATGTGGATGAACAGAAAGTGAAGGTCAGTCAGCCTGCGTATTTAGTTTACCAGAGTGCTCATCCCTCACCTGCCTCAGGACGTGGTGACCTTGTCCTAGACATGTGCAATTGCTGTGTTTGTTCCGTGTGTGTCTTCTGCTGGGAAGTAAGATTTGAACTATGGGACCTTGGCAAATGGAAAATGGAAAAGGGAAACTTTAGCTAGTGTTTCTACCCCATGACTGCCAATCACATATATTCCTAAAGCAAAAGGAAAACAAAATAAGTAGCATCTTTAATTCTCTCCCCCCTCCCTCTCTCACATAATATATAACATGTGTGTAGAACATATATTTTGCACACACATATGTGTCACAAGGAATCAAATGTTAGTTGAGGATCAAATACACACACACACACACACACACACACACATATATATATATATATATATATATATATATATATACATAAAACATCTGATTCCTCGTGACACACAAGAGTCTTTCACCGGGGTCTTCTGTTGGACATCATTTTGAAACTCGGGGTGACTTGGAAATGATCATGTGGTTGCAGAGAGTAACTGGGTCGGAAGAGATCACATATGCTCTCGGTAAAAGAATGAATTTGAATGAAAAACTGTGAGGGAAATGGAATAATTGAGCCATAAAATACACTTTCATAAACTAAACCCTTTTTATATTAGGTGAGACAAATGTAGAATGAGAACAGAAAGTCCTAGAGGGTGAATTTCTTCACCTCTTGTAGGAAGTTTGGAAGAGATGGTCCAGACAGTAGCAGTTTTAAATTTAAGTTTCTGGAATTATTACAACTTGTGTCCAGGAAAAACATTGTGCCACATTCCCACTAGTGTGGAGGAGTCGATTCTTGACTACAATGGGAGTTCATGACCACCTTGGGATGCATGAGACCATGTCTAAGGACATTTTTTAAAAGAAAGGCTATAAGCCTATGCACAGAGAGCTTGGCACACGGCTCTAATTGGGTAATGTTGTGCAGAATAAAGGGTGTGGTATTGTGTGTTACATGACTTTTTCTTCACTTTTCTGGTGGTGGCATGCAAAACAGGAATTAAAAAAAAACTGTAGGCAGCTGGATAGTGGTGGTACATGCCTCTAATCCCAGCACTTGAGAGGCAGAGGCAGGTGGGTCTCTGTGAGTTCGAGGCCAACTGGACTATAGTACACATTCTAGGACAGCCAGAGATATTACACAGAGAAACCCTGTCTTGAAAATCCAAAAAGAAAAACAAAGTACGCAAGTCCATGACCATGTATAACTACTAGCTGCAGCCATGCAAAACATGTGAGCATTTTAAAACTTCATTGTGTGTGCAAAAGATCCTTGGAGTCAAATGATACTCCCTGATGTGTTTTCCCACCAGAACAGCAACTGCTATAAATATGTTCATCTAATCCCCCTCTCCCTATGATTTCAGGATTGGTTTAATAATAAGAGGGCTAAACTTAGGAAGAACCAGAAGTTAATAATGACAAACAAGCACCCTGCTTCTACCAAGGAGACTCCCGACATGAAGACTTTGGTGGAGTCCAAGAATGTCATCATTCTCCAGGAGCAAGTCGGGGATGGGCTCTTCTGGTGTCACCAGATCTTTGACACCTGTGCTGGCCAGAACATCCCTGTCTCTCTCCCCTTACATTAGCAATAAAGCACAGAATTATCCATGTACTCCTTGTGTGTGCCCTCCACAGAAAAGAATATGTTTCATTCCACTTTCTAGAGAGGGCAGCTCAGAGCAGGTGAGGGGAGCTGGAACACAGTGGTTACACCCTTCCTGGCAGAGCAAGGGAAGGCTCAGTAGCATCCATGGGCTTTACATGCTACCCTTGCTTCACATTCTGCTGCAGCCTCCTAGGGAGGCTGTAGGGAGTTTTCTGGGTCCTATGTAGCAGTGTCCCAGCCTCTTGATTGCCCACGTGGTGTCTGTGAAGAGGGTTGTGGGTGCAGGGGCTGTCAGCAGAATCGGGAGGCCATGAACATGAGTGCTGGGCACTGGCAGCAACAGTTGTTGTGTGTGTCTAAGAGGCAAATGTTCAGCACAAAACAACATATATGTCTAGAGCACAATAAGGAACCGGAAACTCAGGGGTGGGCAGGGCTAGCTGATGGTTACTACCTTTACCCACCGCTGTGGCAGGGAGGCTGTAAGGAACATGCACACATACAGTTTCTCCACATTTTTATTTTGCTATTCCCTGCCCCCACTTCATCAAATTCTCATTTCACCATTTTTCAGAGAGAACTGTTCAGAAGTGGAATCATCTTGTCAAAACATTAGATATTGTTTGAAGACCTCCCTAGTGTTCATAGGCCATGACTGGTTGATATGCATGGGAGGCCTGCTCTTTTCTGAAGGGGAAGGAGGGCGGGGTGGTTGGGAAGGGATTGGGAAGAGAGGAGGCAAGAGGAGAAAAATGTGGTCAGGCTGGGAAAAAAATACTTAAAATTGAAAAAGAAAATAGAGGAAGAATTCCCTAGTGTGGCCAAGGAGATTACACAGTGGGTAAAGGGACAGGATAGCATTCCTGAAGGCCTGATTTCAATCCCTGGGCCCCACATGATGGGAGGAAAGAACAGACTCTCACAAATTGTCCTCTGACATCCACATGTTCAGGTGTTATGCCATGCTCACACACATACTTACAAATTAAAATTCAAATAAGAAACTGCAATTCAGAAGGAATCTGATAATTGACTATATCATGTATGTGAAGCCAATTTGTGGTGACCCCCCCACCATGAAATTATTTCATTGCTACCTTATAACTCTAATTCTGATACTATGAATGGTTATGTAAATATCTGTGTTTTCTGGTGGTCTTAGTATACCTATATGAAAGGGTTGTTCAGCTCCCACTGTTGTACACCCTTCTAGCATCTCTATCTCTATTCACGTTCCTGTGGTCCAACATGACAGTACTGAGAAGAGCCATAAAAGACAGGTGTAGGCAGACTGTTCTGTCTCTCCTGCCAACTCCCAATCATCACACAGAGACTTTTTATTATCAAAGTTTGGCCGATAGCTTAGGCTTGTTTCTAACTACCTCTATAACTTAAATTCACCCATTTCTTTTAATCTATGTTCTTTTACATGGCTAGCTTACCTTTACTTTGTAATGTCCATACTGCTTCCTATGCATCTGGCTGGTGCTTCTCTGAATCTTTACCCTTTTTCCCAGCATTCGATATGCCTAAAAATCCTGCCTAGCTATTGGCCATTTAACTGTTTAATAAACCAATCAGTGTGACCAATATTCACAGTGTAAAGGAATATTCCAGAATAGGCAGGTGTAATTGTAAAGAAGAAGTCCTTAAGTTTCCTCGTATATAGTAATAGAGAACAGGGGCATGTATACGGCTATGGACTTTTGAGGGGAGGGGATCAAGGTAAAGATATTATTAATCGTCCCTTGAGCAGATGTCCTGAATTTCATGTTGTGGCTTACACATTTTTTTAAATGATAATGGGGACTGGGGGAGATGACTCGGTGGTTAAGGGCACTTATTGCTCTTGCAAAGGACACAGGTTTTTTTTTTCTTTCCCACCACCCACATGGTGATTTACAACCATACATAACTGCAGTTCTAGTCCAGTCCTAAGGGACTTGACACCATCTTCTGATCTCCACAGACAACAGGCATGCACCGGGTACACATACCTACATGCAGGCAAAACACTCATGCACATGAAATAAAAACAAATCTTTAAAAAAGATGCCGATTTTGAAACAAGTGTAAAAAAAGATGGCCAATTGTGAATGGCCATGGCTTACTCCATGTTGATAAAGGGAATCAGAGATTCAGAAAAACTGAAATGTTGGCATCGATTTGTCCTATAACACAGACTTCTTCATACTGGGAAGGCCCTGGGCATTGTTCTTCAGGAATTATTACAGAAAACAGACTTGTGAACCAGCATGACTGAAGAGCTCTGTCATTGCTGCTCTCTATATGTCACAACTGAATAAATCAAATGCAATGAGTCTGCTCGGATCCAAGAGTAACATGGGCCCCGTGGCAGCACTGAATGTTCATAGGCTGGTAAGTGATCAACAGAGGCAGGCAGAGTAGTGATTGTAATAAACAGATGCATGTAGACCTATTGTGTTAACACGTACATCTGGTATTTCCAGAAGTGAAAACACACAGAAAGCTCACAAATTATCCTCAGTCTGTACAAGTAGCAGCGCTCTATAGCTATAAGGGTGTACCCAGTGAATGGCAAATGCCAGCCTTGTCAGATTGCCAAGGCATAGTAGACAGCACAACATGCGTGAATGAAGCCCTGACTAGTATCGTGTACCTAGGCATGAGAATTATGCCTTCATATCCTCATCTTATATATGTGGAAAATAAAACAGAGAGGTTGCCGGGTGGTGGTGGCATACACCTTTAATCCTGCATTTGGTTGGCACAGGCAGGTGGATCTCTGTGAGTTTGAGACCAGCCTGGGCTACAGAGTGAGTGCAGAATAGGCTCCAAAGCTACACAGAGAAAAAAAAACAAATAAAACAAAAACAAAACCAGAGAGGTCAGGTGACTTTCCCAACATCACACAGCAAGTAGACAATAAAATACAATAGTCCTGTAAGAGAGGATGGAAGACACCAGGAGAACATGACCTACTCAACCAACTAAGCAGTACTCACACAGACTCACGGAGACTCAAACAGCAAGTACAGGGCCTGCAAAGGTCTGTAACAGGTCCTCTGTGTACATGTTATGACTGTTAGCTCTATGTTCTTGTGGGACTCCTAACAGAGGAAGTGGGTCTATTTCTGAGTCTTTTGCCTGCTCTTGGGACTCTTTCCTCTTGTCCAGCTTCCATATGAGGCCTTTTGCCTTGACTTATTGTATCTGTTTTTGTTCTGTCTTGCTGTCCCATCCTGGAGGCCTGCTCTTTTGTAAAGAGGAAATGGAGGGGAGTGAATCTGGCAGAGAGGGGAGGTGGGGGGTAGAGAGTGGAGGGAGAGGAAACTGTGGCCAGGATGTGCTGTATGAGAGAAGAAGCTATTTTCAATTTTAAAAAAATGTAAAAGGAATGTGGATTGCACCTGAAGAATGACTCCAAAATTATCCTTATTCTCCACATCCATTAATCGTACTCATATATGATTTCACCCTGACAATGTACATCCATGCACATGAACACACACCTACACTTAAAAATGACATTTCACATTCAATAGTGTACTCAGTTTTTCAAGTTCAGTTTACCTTAGCTGCCTTCTACCATTCTGTCATGTTCTTTATAGTATTTATATTGGTGTAGTACTTATACTGGTATCTAATGAATAATTTACATGAGGGATTTTCTGGCTTCTTATGTGTGAATGAAAACTCCATGGAGAGCTCAGAGATTGAACAGAGGAGACAAGCCTCCTCAGCAAAGGCCTCCCAGGAATTTTCTGTGTATTCTTTCTTGCACACTTCCTCAATCTCCATGGTGGACACTCTCCCAGAAGGGTTTTGCTGCTTGGCCCTTCCTCTTGACCTGAAGCTTCACTGGAGATTTAGAAGATCAGATTCCTTTCTATTAATCAAGAGAGAAAAGACGTAGGGACCAGCAGATGACACTCAAACTTTGGGAACAATAGGATGCATAAGGGGAAGAGAGCAGGATTCCCTAAAATCATATCCCAGTCCATACCCTCCCATCCTCCTGTTGTCACACCCAGAACTGCAGCAGAAAGATGGGAAAGTTAGGCTTCGAAGTTCAGCAAGACTAGCATCTTCTCTTCCTGCTCAGACTTCCCATCCGTGGGGTCTGAGGACACTCCCTGGGCTCGGAGACACAGGAAGTGGGAAAAGGCACTGGACATTCAGAACCCACCCCAGCCCAGGTACAGCATGTCCATTTACTTCTGCTCATCTGCAAGTACAATCTCACACTTCCAGGCTCCGCTGGGGCCCTGGGAATGAGGAATGGAGAGAGGCACCCGTTCTCTGATGGTGTACTTGAGGAGGTCACTGTTTTCAGTGTGGCTCGGGAATGTGCCCTATGACTGAGGAGAAAGAGCAGTGACTAAAATGGGCAACCTCCTAAGGCTTACTGTGTTTGTCTTTGTCCCTTTGCGCCTTGTTGTGCCCCATCTAATCCTCCAGAGGGAGACATATGCTGCTGGGTTGGTCTCCTAAGCACGCTTCTGTGTGGTTCCCATGCAGTCTGCCGTCTGGCCCCAGGCCTTCCTGAAAAATTTCTCCGGGCTTTGGCACTCTGTGGGGTCTCTCTTGGAACTTCTGCATAGGTGCAGCAGGATGCATAGGCCTAAAAGCAGCAATCAACAGAAACCAAGCGGCAGTTTTAGGTTCCCTGTTGTTCAGTGTCCATATTTGGGGACAACTGCTGCAGATGTTCTGTGTAACCTTAGGGTGGAGAGAACCAAGCAAACATGGAGTGTGGGTCTTGGAGGTGTCCAGAGGGAAGTGGTGTGGAGGAACTTCCACAGATGGGAGAGGATGTGCTGGTTACTTGACCCCTCTAGCAAAGGTCCCTGAAGGGCCAGGGTTTGCCCAAGAACAGTGGTACCTGAACCCTGTGCTTCTAGATATTACACCTAAGTTATTTTTCCAAGACCACATTTCATGGACTCATATACATAAATTTAAGTGATGTGGAATGTCCTTCTATATGCTGCAAAT